AAAAAAAAAAAAAAAAAATTAACCAGGCATGGTGGCGCACACCCATAAGCCCAGCGACTCGCTTGAGCCCAGGAGGTGGAGGCTGCAGTGAGCCACGACTTAACCACTGCACTCCAGCCTGAGCAACAGAGCAAGACCCTGTCTCATACAAAACAAAGCACCCCCCCACACACACACACAAAACAAATTTGGCCGGTCGTGGTGGCTCACTCCTGTAATCTTAGCACTTTGGAGGCCGCGGCAGGTGGATCATCTGAAGTCAGGGGTTTGAGATCAGCCTGGCCAACGTGGTGAAACCTGGTCTCTACCAAAAATACAAAAATTAGTCAGGCGTGGTGGCAGGCACCTGTAATCCCAGATACTCAGAAGGCTGAGACAAGAGAATCGCTTGAACCGGGGAGGTGGAGGTTGCAGTGAGCTAAGATGGCACCAGAGGGCCTATCTGGTAGGGCTGAAGAAGCTGATGGGGCCCCGCTGTGGTGGAGGCTGGGATGTTGGCTGGGGCTCAGGGTGACCCTGCAGGGCCATCCCAGCCTGGCTGGTGTCTAACATGGGCTTCTGTAGAAGGTCCCAGCTAGAGGGATTCGGGAGTCTGGACTTCAGGCTGGGTCCAGCCTTCCTCTTCCTGGAGCGGGTGCCAGCCCCCAGCCCACTTGCGTCAGGGACACAAGGACTCCTTCCCTTTCCAGCCTGGAAAGCCCCTTTGCCGCCGCCTGGAGGAAGGGAGCTGCGTGCCCTGCTGCCCAGGACCCCGGGCTGGCCTAGAGTCAGTGGCGCCTACGGGCATGGATCTGGATGGGGAGAAGGACCAAGCAGCCTCCACAGTTCATTCTGGGACCAGGCCCTCATGGGCACGCACTAGGCTCCTGTTGGAAGACGCTAAGGGCCCCAGGACAGACCCTCTCTCCAGTCAACTGGGTTCCCAGATGGCAGAGGTGGCAGAGTGGGGCAGGGTACTCAGCCCCACTCAGAATTGGGAAGCTTAGCCTCCTGCAAAGACCCGAGCACAGCACATCTGCAATGTACGGGGGGGTCTCCTGGAGACTGGCCAGCCGGTGGAGAGCTGGGGGAAGTGGGTGACGCTGCGGTGGGAGGGGCTACCTTGCCTCTGGGGAAGTGCAATTGCTATCTGGCTCCCAGGCCTGGGTAGCTGGGTGGGGGCTGGGGAGCCATCTCCGCTCTGAGTGCCTGAATCTCGCCTTCCCTACACTGGGCCAAGCCTGCCGGCGCCTCCCCATCCTCACCTGACCAGCTTGACATCCCTGGGCCTCTCTGGAGACCAGTGGGGGGGGTAGGGAGGGGCGCTGTAACGCCTGGCTTGGCACTCCTCTTGTGGCCAGACCCCTTCCAGCGGCCCCACGGCTAATAAGGGAGATGGGGGTGGGGACGGTGGTTGATGCCAAAGGTCATGGGGGCAGGGGCGGGGCAGGAGAGGAAGGTTCCCTGGCTTCCCTCACCTTGGGCAGATGAAAGGCGCACAGCTCCAGGCGGGGCTGAGCCGGGCGCAGCTGTGATTTCAGGGCGCCTCTGGCAGTGCTGTGATTTGAGAACCTCGGTGTCTTGGGTGACTGATTCCGGGAGACTGCAGATGAGCAATGCTGGTGAGTGTGTGGCCCCGGGGGGAAGCCTGGGCTGGGGAGGGCTGGCAGCCTAGGAGGGGAGGACGGGGGTGGCACAGAGTGGGGGCTCCGGGTGTCCCACAGAGCTCCGGCGACAAAGCCTCTCCTCCCTTGTGCCGCTGCAGGGAATGGCCCCACACGGAGGCTGCGGGGCTTGGAGGTCCTGGCCGGAGTGGCTCTGCTGGCCGCCCTCTGGCTCCTGTGGCTGCTGGGGTCAGCCCCTCGGGGCACCCCGGCACCCCAGCCCACCATCACCATCCTTGTCTGGCATTGGCCCTTCACTGACCGGCCTCCAGAGCTGCCTGGCGACACCTGCACCCGCTACGGCATCGCCCGCTGCCGCCTGAGCGCCAACCGGAGCCTGCTGGCCAGCGCCGACGCCGTGGTCTTCCACCACCGCGAGCTGCAGACCCAGCGGTCCCACCTGCCCCTGGCCCAGCGGCCGCCCGGGCAACCCTGGGTGTGGGCCTCCATGGAGTCGCCCAGCCACGCCCACGGCCTCGGCCGCCTCCGCGGCATCTTCAACTGGGTGCTGAGCTACCGTCGAGACTCAGACATCTTCGTGCCCTACGGCCGCCTGGAGCCCTACTTGGGGCCCTCGCCGCCGCTGCCGGCCAAGAGCGGGGTGGCCGCCTGGGTGGTCAGCAACTTCCAGGAGCAGCAGCCACGTGCCAGGCTGTACCGGCAGCTGGTGCTTCACCTGCGGGTGGACGTGTTTGGCCGCGCCAGTGGGCGACCGCTGTGTGCCAGCTGCCTGCTGCCCACCGTGGCCCGATACCGCTTCTACCTGTCCTTCGAGAACTCTCAGCACCGAGACTACATCACGGAGAAGTTCTGGCGCAACGCACTGGCGGCTGGTGCTGTGCCCGTGGTGCTGGGGCCCCCACGGGCGACCTACGAGGCCTTCGCGCCTGCCGACGCCTTCGTGCACGTGGACGACTTTGCCTCGGCCCGAGAGCTGGCGGCTTTCCTCACCGGCATGAACGAGAGCCGATACCAACGCTTCTTTGCCTGGCGTGACCGGCTCCGCGTGCGACTGTTCACCGACTGGCGGGAGCGCTTCTGTGCCATCTGTGCCCGCTACCCCCACCTGCCTCGCAGCCAGGTCTATGAGGACCTGGAGGGCTGGTTCCAGGCTTGAGCTCTGCTGGCCGGGGGAGGTGGGTATGAGTGGAAGGGCTGGGTGTCGAAATCAAACCACCAGGCATCCGGCCCTTACCGGCAAGTACTGGCCTAGCAGGAGGCTGGGGACCGGGGTCAGGAAGCAGGGGCGGGGGGTGCAGGCGGGAGCAGGAGCAGGCAGAGGAGGCGAGAGCGGGAGGGAGTAACGGGTGCCTGCTGTCGGGGCAGATGGGAGGGGAAAGGCTGCCGAGGATCCTCCCCACCCGAACAAATCTCGTGTGGGTCAAGGCCTGGCTGGAAGAGGGTGAAAGGCAGGCCCTTGGGGCTGGGGACACCCCAGCCTACAGTGTGTGGGGGCCAAGCCTGGGACCGCGAGCTTCCTCTGTAGCAGAGGCACTGTGGTCGCCAGGACACAGCCACGGGTCCCTGCCGCACCCACAGTCCTGAGGTCCCTGCATGCAGGCTGGCACGGGGCCCAGGAGACCACGAGGAGCAAGCCAGCTTGTTCTGGGCTCAGGGTGGGAGGCAGAGGGCAATAAAGACCTACAGCAGTGTCAGCAATAAAGACCAGTGTCTCATGGGTGCTGTCCGTGCAGGGCCATGGAGCCTGTCTGCCCTCCCCTGGCAGGTTGCCCCCACGGCCACAGGGCTGCTGGTTCCCCACGGGGGATCCTGCCTCCTGACCCTGGGGCCTTTGCTCGCCCTCTGCCTGAGAGCCCTCCCTGTGCCACAGCTGCCTGATGGCTCCCCCAGTTCCTGCCTTCCGTGACCCAGGGGCTGGCACTGGCTGGGGCAGGCATGGAGCAGACACAGCATGAATAACTGGCTCAGATAGTCCCCAAGATCCTGCCCAGGGAGACACAGAGGTGGGGAGGGAGAAGATGAGCTGAGATGTACATGGGTCAGAGTAGACCACAAGCTGGCAGATTTGTCCCTGTAGGCCCTGGAGCTCCTCAGAGGGCAGGCAGGCCTGGTGCGGGCTGCGGACAGGAAACCTGATTTGCTGAGGCAGACGGCAAAAGGCCAAGGCGATGGGCCCAGGAGTTTGAGAGCAGCCTGGGCAGTGTAGTGAAACCTCATCTCCGCCAAAAATACAAGAATTAGCAGGGCGCAGTGGCTCACGCCTGTGGTCAGAGCCACTTGGGATACTGAGCCCGGGAGGCTGAAGCCGTGGTGAGCTGTGATCACACCACTGCACTCAAGCCTGGGCAACAGAATGAGACCCTGTCTCAAAACAAAAAACCGAAACTGGCCACAGAGGGTGAAGAGTAGGGAACGGACGTCAGAGACCTGGCCAGGCTGAAAGTGCCCGTCTCCCAGGCCCGCAGGCTGGAGGGTGTCAGGGGCGACGCGTCTGACCTGTGCCTTGGCGCTCCCTCTGGTGGCCAGCGCTGGGGAGGCACTGAGGACGCTGCCGCAGCCGGGTGGGGAGTGCGGCGAGGAGAGAGGCCATCGCGGGTGGTGCTGACCAGGCCCCAACAGGCCAAGCTCCCGGTGCTGGGCACAGGGCTGGTCCCCGCCCCTGGTGGGCAGGATGAAGCCAGGAAGCCCCCATGACCCATGGCCCGGGCTTATGGGAGCGAGCTGCTGGTGGCTTCCTGCCCTGACTTAGCCCCGTGGACCGAGCAGGGAACAGCAAATGTCCCGAGGCTGTGGGCTGGGTGGGAGGCTGACGCCCTCACCCACCAGCTCAGGGTCACCTTTCTGCTGCAAAGGAGCTGGGAGGAGTGGGGAGCTGTGGCCCGAAGTCCTTCGTTCACTTGAGGGTGCGCCTTCTCGGCGCTCCAGACACCGCACTGGACCCCGGGCCCCGCACAGCCCCACTTCAACCCATTCACAGGCGGGGAAGCTGAGGCTGGGAGGCGCCGCTGGGGCCTGCCCTCCCGCCCTCCGCAGGCCACGCGGAGGAACCGCCCACCTCCCCGGGCGCCGCAGCAGGTGCCAGCCACCGCCGCGGAACCGCCTGACCCCGGACTCTCGGTGCTGCGGCCAGACTCGCCGGGATACGGGGCGAAAAACGAGCCACGTGCAGCGGGGGCAGCCGGGGTCTCCGGCCTGTCCGCCCACGGCGAGCGTTCTCGGGGCCTCGGGTGTCCTCCCTTCCGCAGGCTGCCCGGAGTGCGGGGCCCAGCCCCCGGCCGCCCGGCCTCCCCTGCAGGTGGGCGCCGCCTGGGCTCCACGCGCCCGTTTAGGAGACTCGCAGGAGACCCTCGCCAGCGTCCGCTCGACGCGCCCCGGGGACCGTGAGGGCCTGGGCGCCTCCGCAGAGTCGCCAGCGCGACGCGCAGCGGGGCCCCGGGAGAGGAGCGCGGCGGCGAGGGTCCCCGGCCCCCGCGCGCTGAGCGGGCTCTGGGATCGGGTGCGCGCTGCGAGGGCTGTGGCGCGGGGCGTGGCGCCCGGTGAGGGCGGCCCGGAGGCTTCCCGGCGGCGGCGCGGGAGGGTCTCGGGCCCGGGCGGCGGGCGCCTCCTGGCGGGCGCGGGCGGAGCGCGGCGCCTTTAAGCGGGGGCGGGCGGAGCGCGGGCAGAGTCGCTGTCGCCGCGGCCGCCGGGGCGGAGCCAGCGCGGATCGGGTCCCGGACGCCCGAGCGCCCCGCCCCCGCGCGGGCGATGCCCAGCGGCGCGGCGGGCGGCGGGGCCCGGCGGGGCGCGCAGAGGAGCGGGCCGCGGCGCTGAGGCGGCGGAGCGCGGCCCCGCCATGGGCTTCCTGCACCAGCTGCAGCTGCTGCTCTGGAAGAACGTGACGCTCAAACGCCGGAGCCCGGTGAGTCCATCCCACGCGCCCGTTCGCAGCCCGAGGCCGCGCGCCCCCCGCGCGCACGTGCGGACGGTCGGGCGCGCGCAGACCCTGGCGGGCGCGGGGGACGACACGGGCCTGGGCCTCCTCCCCGCCGGGCCCTGCCCGCCCCTCCAGGCGCTGCGGCCTCCGGGGAGGTGGTTGGGTCGTGCCCAGCCCGGGCCCGCGTCCGCTGACATCGCGGTGCTCGGCTGAGTCACGGCACCCGCGCCCTCCGCAGCGCGCTCTCTGGGGCCGCTGTGGGCGGGGGGCAAGCGGCGCTCAGGACTCCGGCTCAGGGAGGCCCGGGTTCCCAGGACAGAGGGCAGGCCTAGGGGGCTCCATCCGGCTGCCAGGCTCCATGGTCCTTGGGCCCAGCCTCACTGGGGCCTGGGGGAGACCCTGTCCCTGCCCTCCCTCCGCCCCTCCCTGCCCTTGGGCCGCGGCCTGCCGTGGCATCTGTCCACCCCTCCCTCCCCCGCACATCCCCTCCCCCGCATCACCCCCCCCACACACACATATCTATGACCCTTGCTGATGCCCTCACCACTGGGAACGTCCTTGTGCCAGCCTCGGGCGGCCTGGGTCTCTGCACCCCTTTGTCCTTTGGGGTCAGTTCTCCCTGAGCCTGGTCTGGATTCCCTCTTGGTTCCCCCCCACCTCCTCTGGGGGCTGGGTCTGCTGTCTGGAGCTGTGACCACCGGGTTACCCAGCACTGCCTGGGCAACCAGTGGACCTGAGGGTGCGGGACACATAGTGGTCAGGGACGGAAGTCCTGAGTGGAGCGAGGGGCTTGGGGGCATGGGTGTCTTGCCATAACCCCCAGCTGGCCAGCTTGGCTCCAGCCTGGGAAGGGCAGGGACAGCTTCCAGGCCATAGGCCTGGGCTTGCTTGGGTTTCTGAAGGCCCTTGGTATTGTCCAGGCCAGGGCCCAGAGCAGGTGGGCACCTGAGGCAGACACACCCTCTTGCCCAGCCAGGACCCCTGGGGCTACACCAGTCCTTGCCTGTTTATCTTTCAACGTGCTCTTTGGGAAGGACAGGCTGCAGGCAGGTGGGGCGACAATCATCACCACAGCTGGCAGCATTCCCCTGGGCACCTGGCCTTGGCAGGGAGCCCGGGTTAGGTACATGCCCTGCCCAGGCACCTGGGGCTGGCTGAGTGGGGTCCTGGGGACCAGGCCTGCAGTCCTTGGCATTGGGTCACCGGGGACAGCAGAGCAGGGCCAGGGGAACAGGGATGTGGACTGTGGCATGCATTAGTGTTGGCCCCCAGGGGTTGTCACGAAGGGCCCCCACTCTGCCTGGGAGCAGAGGCTGGAATGGTGGCCCCTGTTCCAGTGGGGACAACGCTCAGGGAAGGGAGTGTGGCTCATGGGGGCACCTGGCAAGCAGGTGGGAGGCATGCACTGTCCTGACCACAGAAGTTCCTGCCAGCTGCTGGTTGGGGCTGCCCCCCAGGACCTTTCTGGGTCCCCACCCTACAGGGCTCCCAGAGGCCCACTGGCCCACAGGGGAGGTCCTTAGCCCTCGGCGGGTGCAGGTGGGAACTGTTTCCCCAGGAAGGCTGCGTCCTTCCCAGGCTTGTGATGTGGGGCTGGGGCTGCTGGGCACGCCCACACTCCTGCTGGATTCTCACTTTCTTGGGAAGGATCTTGGGTGTCAGAGCTGGACTCTTGGGACCAGGCTTGGATGGCAGAGGTTTGCCCTGCCGGTGGCCTGCTGGAGCAGGGGCGCACCCTGGGCGGAGCTCAGGGTTTGGAGGGTGGGTGCCAAGGGTCTCTGCACTGCCAGCAGGCTCCTCCAAGCTCTTTGCCTCAGTTTCCCTGGCTGAGTGTGGCCCATGCCCTCTTAGCTAGATGTGGGTCTACCCTCAGGCTACAGGCTGCTGCTCTTGGTGAAAGGACAGGGTCACTGTCATGAAGCCACTAGGGTGGCGGTGGCAGCACCACCCTGAGGTCTCACCTGTTCTCCTCCTGACACAGTAGGTGGGGGCTACAGGGAGGGGTCAAGCCCGGAGAGGGCCTCCAGGCCTGCAGGCGATGTGACGGCGCTGGGCTGGCCTTGAGAGACAGAGGTTGGGCCACCTGCAGGCACCCGTGGGGGGCACCCAGGGCGTGCTAGACCTGTGCTGCCGCCTGTAACCAGATGCCCCTGTGGCGCCCGCCGCCCGCCAGCCAGGACTCTCCTCCTCCCCCCAGCAGCTCGTGCGAGGCCGTTGCTATAGCAATGGAGGAGGCAGCCGGGCCTGTTGCAGTTACAGCGCCCATAGTGGGCCGGGTGTGGGCAGGGCTGGCACCCCACGCTGTGACCCCGGCCTCTGGCATTGCCCCATGCCTGCAGCCACCCTCACCCTGGTGCCTGTTGGTGCCCACAGTGCCTCAGCAAGCCCTGGGTTCCATCCTGGCTCAGGGAGCGGGTGGAGGCTGGCACGGGCTGGGGTGGGCATGGGGCACAGACACAGCATGACGTTCCGGCCACAGAGCCCTATTGTCCGGGCACAGTAAACACAGCAGCCGCCCCCACCCCAGGGACCAGGGGCTCGGCCCGGGCCACACAGCACACTGGGGGCTCTGAAAGCTTTTGATATGGGGACGAGGATGAAGGATGCCTCCAAACTGGGTGCTGGGGGCTCACCCTTGGGCTAGGGAGGGCAGGGCCCCTCTGTCCTGTGGGTCTCAGAGAGGGCTGGCCTGCCAAGGGTTCTCCTGAGAGCAGCTGGTCCAAGCTTTTCCTCCCCTCCCTGAGCTGGAGGCTGGGACACCAGAACGGGTGAAGTCCTTGGATTTCAGGTGGAAGTGAGCAAAGCTAAGCGGGCCTCTGGAACTTCCCTCACTCCAGGCAGGTCCCGATAGGGCTCACCTTGGTGCCCAGCCCGGGTCAGCAGGAGCCAGCCTGGGAAAACTGAGCTCCGAGGCCCAAGACTGGCGGGGCTGCCCCGGGCCAGGGGAGGGGACAGGGCAGAGAGAGGTGCCTTTGCCTCAGGGAATGGGGCTGCCAGAGCCTGGCCAGGTCTTCTCTGAGGCTCAGGGCCCTGGGCTCAGGTGAGGCCTCTCTGAACCAGATCTCCTTATGTGCCCAGACCCCTGCATTGGTGGGGAGGAAGGTGAACCCTGGGCAGTGCGGGAGCTGTAGGTGGGGCCAATGGTTCAGATGGTCCCCAAGATCCTGCCCAGGTGGCCACAGAGGTGTGGAGGGAGAAGATGAGCTGGGGTATACATGGGTCAGAGTAGACCACAGCTGGCCAATTTGTCCCTATAGGCCATGGGGCTCCTCAGTGGGCAGGTAGGCCCGGTGCGGGCTGGGGACGGGAAAGCTGATTTGCTGAGCCAGACAGTCCTTACCCTCAGTGCCCTGGCAGGGCTCAGACCTTCAGTGGTCCCAGGGAGCATGTGGTCCTGGCCGGGAGGACCTGGGGAGCACAGGTCTGCCCCGTCCTCACTGGGCCCACCCTTTGCAGTGGGTCCTGGCCTTTGAGATCTTCATTCCGCTGGTGCTGTTCTTCATCCTGCTGGGGCTGCGGCAGAAGAAGCCCACCATCTCCGTGAAGGAAGGTGAGCACGGGGGGCAGCCCCGGCATCTCACACGCCTGCAATGTGTGTGCACGTCTGCACATGGCGTCCGGCTCCCGGAGTCCCTGAGGCATGGTGCCTGCTCCCTGTGTGGTCTGGGGCCGTGTCTCCCGGCCGGGCATGGAGGTCGGGGCTGGCCTGTGGCCGCAAATGATGATGCCAATGCCTGTTCCTGGTGATGTGGGCACTCACTGTCTCCTCTGTTCTGTTTCGACCCCTCCCCCCGCATGGTGTCTTGTCCTCGGTCGGCATGCAGTCTGTAAGTGAGCGGCCGCCTCCTCCTGGCTGGCCTGGGCAGCAGCTGCAGGGGCCCATGGGCATCCCTGGCTTGAGCGCCCTCCCCGCTTGCATTAACAGCCCTCCTGGGTCCCCTGCCGGCCTCAGAAACAGCTGTCTCCAGACGTGGGGTTGGGTGGGCAGTGAAGTGGGCAGTGGTAGGTAGTGAGAGGCCTGGCCACCTAAGCCACAGCTGGTGCCTGGGTCAGGCTGCGGGGCATCTCTGTGCCTGGCCTTGCCTTCCAGGGGTGGGGCGCCTCAGCTGGTTTATGCTGGCCTGGGCTGATCTGGGCTGGCCTGGGCTGGTCTGGGCTGGTCTGGGCTGGTCTGGGCTGGCCTGGGCTGGTCTGGGCTGGCCTGGACTGGGGCTGGCGGCCTGGCTACTCTCCCTTCCTACTCCTTCAGGCCCCTGCACTCACTCTGCTAACCAGCTGGCCAGGGGTCAGAGGTCACTGCCCAGTGGGGCCCTATGTCCTCCCTTGGGCTCTGTGGGCAGTGCCACAGCTGAAATGTTTTCGAGGGGAGGGTGCCAGGGCATGTGGCCCTGTGCTGGCTGAGGGAAAGGAATGATCTGGGCAGAAGGGGTGGTGAGTGGCTCTGACCTCTGACCTGCTGGAGTCATTTGCCCCACAACGCTTGGCCTGTAGCCCAGCTGGGGCCAGGGCTCTGCTTCTCCCTAATGCTGCTCCTCTTTCCTGACTGTCTCTAAATTTCTCCTCTCGGCCTCTGTCTCCCTTCCTTTCTGGAATTCCTCTCCCTCTTTCTTCCCTCTGCCCCCGGCCCCACCCTTGCCCGTGGGTCTGCCAGCCTTCTACACCGCGGCGCCCTTGACGTCTGCCGGCATTCTGCCCGTCATGCAGTCGCTGTGCCCAGATGGCCAGCGGGACGAGTTTGGCTTCCTGCAGTATGCCAACTCCACGTGAGTGCCCCCCGCCCCCGGATCGCCCACCCCGCTCCAGCCCATCCCGCGGCTGACCTCTGCCGTGGTGCAGGGTCACTCAGCTGCTCGAGCGCCTGGACCGCGTGGTGGAGGAAGGCAACCTGTTTGACCCAGCGCGGCCCGGCCTGGGCTCGGAGCTCGAGGCCCTGCGCCAGCATCTGGAGGCCCTCAGCGCAGGCCCGGGCACCCCAGAGAGCTACCCCGACAGACCCACAGGTGTGCCCTGCGCAGGGAAGTTGGGGGGCGGGGCTGCCGGCATGGGGCTGAAGCCCACCTCCGCGCGGGCCGTCCACCTGCACTGAGCTCCCGCTGTGCCGGCTGCAGTGGCAGAGCCGTGGTGCTGGGCTCGGCGCCGAGGGCACCTGGGCAGGGTGGAGCGGCCTCTCAGCCTCACCTTCCTGCCTGCCCAGTGTCGTCCTTCTCGCTGGACTCGGTGGCCAGAGACCCGCAGGAGCTCTGGCGTTTCCTGACGCAGAACCTGTCGCTGCCCGATAGCGCGGCTCACGCCCTCCTGTTCGCCCGCGTGGACCCGCCCGAGGTGAGGCAGGGACAGCTCCCAGCCCTGGCCACTCCCCTCTGCCCTCCCCGTGCCCGGGTTGCTGAGCCATCCTCAGGACTCTGAGCCACGCCCCCACACCCCCAGGTCTACCACCTGCTGTTCGGTCCCTCGCCTGCCCTGGATTCAGAGTCCGGCCTTCCCAAGGGTCAGGAGCCCTGGAGCCACCTGGGGAGCAATCCCCTGTTCCGGATGGAGGTGAGGACGTCTGAGAATGGGATGGGACTGGAGTGCTGCCTGTCTCCGTGGGTGAGGAAAGGGCAGCCTTGGTGACTGTCAGCTCCTCCCCAGAGAGGGGGAGGGTCCCAGGGGTCTGCGGCAAGCGTGAAGGTACAGGCCTATGGTAGGGCCCCAGCAGCTCCAGAGCCAGCCAGTGGGTGGGGCAGGTGAGACCTGAGGCTCCTGTGGTTGGAGACAGAGTCCTTGCCTGGCCCCACTGACCCCTGTGCCCACCCCAGGAGCTGCTGCTGGCTCCTGCCCTCCTGGAACGGCTCACCTGCGCCCCGGGCTCCGGGGAGCTGGGCCGGATCCTCACTGTGCCTGAGAGTCAGAAGGGGGCCCTGCAGGGCTACCAGGATGCTGTTTGCAGTGGGCAGGCTACTGCACGTGCCAGGCGCTTCTCTGGGCTGGCCACTGAGCTCCGGAACCAGCTGGACATGGCCAAGGTCTCCCAGCAGGTGAGGCCCTCCTGCCCACTGCCCACTGCCCACTGCCTGAGTGGAAGGAGGAGCTAGGGCTGCTTGCAGAGCTCAGGGTTCCTGGGCCCAAGCTGTGCATGGATGCGGCCTGCGGGTGGGTGTCCAGTGCCTACCGTGGTGCCATGGCTCGTGCCCTACCCCTGCTCACCATCCCAGCTCGTCCTGGCTCCCCTTACCCAGGCTGCGGACTCCCTCCCAGCACCTCGGCATGTGTCCCCCTGCTGCTCTCCTTCCTGCTCCGCTCCTGACCTGCCACCCGCCTGTGGCCAATCCCACCCTGCACTGCCCACCTGCCTGTCTCTCCTCAGCTGGGCCTGGATGCCCCCAACGGCTCGGACTCCCCGCCACAGGCGCCACCCCCGCGGAGGCTGCAGGCGCTTCTGGGAGACCTGCTGGATGCCCAGAAGGTTCTGCAGGATGTGGATGTCCTGTCGGCCCTGGCCCTGCTGCTGCCCCAGGGTGCCTGTGCTGGCCGGACCCCCGGACCCCTGGCCAGCGGTACGGGCGGCACAGCCAATGGCACTGGGGTGGGCACGGCCTCGGGCCCCAATGCCACCGCCGAGGAGGACACACCTTCTGCTGCAGCGCCCGCCACCCCGGACATGCTGCAGGGCCAGTGCTCCGCCTTCGTGCAGCTCTGGGCCGGCCTGCAGCCCATCTTGTGTGGTAACAACCGGTAGGTGGGCGGTGAGGGAACGGGGGTGAGGAGGACAGCCGGGCAGGGCCTGACCCCTGACTCTAGGCTCTGGCTCTGGAGGTCTCATTGGGCGCACTGCTCTGAGCCTCGCAGCCCTGCCCCATCCCGAGGCCCCTCCCACTCCTGTGGCCCCACCCCCTGATGGTCTGGCCCTGCCCTCTGGCCAGCACCATTGAGCCCGAGGCGCTGCGGCGGGGCAACATGAGCTCCCTGGGCTTCACGAGCAAGGAACAGCGGAACCTGGGCCTCCTTGTGCACCTCATGACCAGCAACCCCAAAATCCTGTACGCCCCCGCGGGCTCTGAGGTTGACCGCGTCATCCTCAAGGTGCGCGGCTCCGGATGCTCGGTGTTTGCAGGCAGAGTGGGCGGGGTATCTGCAGGCTTGGGATCCCTGGGCAGAGGGGGTCGGCAGAATTGGCAGGGAGGGGTGCAGGGGCGCAGGGAGGGTGGGACACAGGCTCTGCAGCTGGGGGAGCAGAGGCCTCTTTTCCTTTTGGGAGCTTCGGGGACTGCTGTGGGAAGGCACTGGAGAGGCTGCTTGGCAGGGTCCCCCAGCGGGGTGTGGCCAGCCCGGGCAGTGCTAGTGGAGGACGGATGTGTCCAGGGACCTTCCAGAGTGTCCCGTGGGTGGGCAGCTGGGCAGTTTGGGTTCTGGATGAGAGGTCTTGTCTGGAACAAGCAGAGGCCAGGGCTGGACGTTGGCCTGGGAGGGGAGGGCCTGTGGACGAGGCCAGACGGGCGTAGAGAGAGTCCCTAGGATAAGCTGGGAGAAATGAGGGTGGAGTACCAGGTGCTTGGGGGACACATGGAGAGAGGTCCAGCAAAGGAGCTGGTGGGCACAGCTGGGCGGTTGGGGGTCTGGAGACCCTGCTGCCCTGGGAGCAGAGGGCAAAGCAGGTTTCACACGGTGCCGCAAAAAGGTGTGGAGAGCCGGGGGTGGGCCTCACACCTGTAATTCCAGTACTTTGGGAGGCCAAGGTAGGGGTCGCTTGAGCTGAGGAGTTTGAGACCAGCCTGAGCAACATAGCAGAAACCCATCTCTACCAAAAATACAAAACTTAGCTGGGCATGGTGGCGGGTGCCTGTAATCCCAGCTACTTGGAGGGCTGAGGTGGGAGGATCCCTTGAGCCTGGGACCCTCCAGGATCCAGGGGCTGCAGTGAGCTTGAGCACTGACTGCACCATGCACTCCAGCGTGGGTGACTGAGACCCTGTCTCAGAAAAAAAAAAGGAAAAGTGGGGAGGGTCGGCTGTTGTTTGCAGGGGACCAACCGCTAGAGAGGTGAGGGGGTAAGAGCCCTCAAGCCAGCGGGGTCCGTCCAGGAGCTCCATGCCCCTGCCTCACCCTCTGCAGGCCAACGAAACTTTTGCATTTGTGGGCAACGTGACTCACTACGCCCAGGTCTGGCTCAACATCTCGGCGGAGATCCGCAGCTTCCTGGAGCAGGGCAGGCTGCAGCAACACCTGCACTGGCTGCAGCAGGTGCCGGGGTGCCCGTGAGGGAGGCAGCCGCAGGTGGCTCGGGGAGCCCCTCCCTGCCCCATACAGTAGGCGCAGGCCCCCCTCGAGCTGCTCCTCTACCCCTAGTATGTGGCAGAGCTGCGGCTGCACCCCGAGGCACTGAACCTGTCGCTGGATGAACTGCCACCCGCCCTGCGCCAGGACAACTTCTCGCTGCCCAGCGGCATGGCCCTCCTGCAGCAACTGGACACCATTGACAACGCGGCCTGCGGCTGGATCCAGTTCATGTCCAAGGTGAGGTGGGGCCGGCGAGGCTCCCCCATCCCCCCCCACCCTGCGCCGGCCCAGGGTGGGCTCCAGCGATGCTCCTTCCTCTAGGTGAGCGTGGACATCTTCAAGGGCTTCCCCGATGAGGAGAGCATTGTCAACTATACGCTCAACCAGGCCTACCAGGACAACGTCACCGTGTTTGCCAGTGAGCTGCCGCCCCCCACAGACCTGCTTCCTCCCCAGCCCAGCCCCACCTGTCCCCCTTTGCCCTCCCACTGGCCTTGCCCCGTTACCTGCCACTTCCAACGGCCCCACCCTGCAATTGCCCCCTCCCTGCACCTCCCGACTGCTGCCCACCTTTACCGTGGGACCCCTACCCCAGCCCTGCCCTACCTTTCCCTGGACCCTTCTGTCCCTACGCCCGTACCTTGGCCCCGCCCCTGCACCTGGCTCCACCTCTGCATCTTGGCCCCGCCCCATGCCTTGACCCCACCCCGCATCATGGCCCCGCCCCCTGCCTTGGCCCCGCCCCTCACCTCCGGCCTACCCCTGCATCCTGGCCCCACCGTGCACCTTGGCCCCGCCCCACCCCTTGGTCCTGCCCCGCCCCATGCCTTGACCCCGCCCCTGCATCTTGGCCCCGCCCCCCTCCCGGCCCCAGGTGTGATCTTCCAGACGCGGAAAGATGGCTCGCTCCCGCCGCACGTGCACTACAAGATCCGGCAGAACTCCAGCTTCACTGAGAAGACCAACGAGATCCGACGCGCCTACTGGCGGCCCGGGCCCAACACTGGCGGCCGCTTCTACTTCCTTTATGGCTTTGTCTGGATCCAGGGTGAGGGGTGGGCCCGGAGGGCGGGCCGGAGGATGGTGGGGAGGACAGGTGGGAGCGCGGGAGGGCCTGCCTGGCTTCTGATGGCTGCCTCCACCCGCAGACATGATGGAGCGTGCCATCATCGACACCTTCGTGGGGCACGACGTGGTGGAGCCGGGCAGCTACGTGCAGATGTTCCCCTACCCCTGCTACACGCGGGATGAGTGAGTGCTGGGCGCCCGGGCGGGCTGGGCTGAGGTTGACCCGTGCCTCCCCTCCCCCCACAGCCTCCCCTCCCCCCACGGCCTCTCCTCCCCTCCCCTCACGGCCTCCCCTCCCCTCCCCTCATGATCTCCCCCTAGCTTCTTGTTTGTCATTGAGCACATGATGCCGCTGTGCATGGTGATCTCCTGGGTCTACTCCGTGGCCATGACCATCCAGCACATTGTGGCGGAGAAGGAGCACCGGCTCAAGGAGGTGCGAAGCCGGGACCCTCCCTGGAGGCGCGGGCTGGTGGGGAGGGGCGGCGTCCTCCCCGGGTCGTGCTCCAAACCCCTGGCCACCTGCAGGTGATGAAGACCATGGGCCTGAACAACGCGGTGCACTGGGTGGCCTGGTTCATCACCGGCTTCGTGCAGCTGTCCATCTCGGTGACTGCACTCACCGCCATCCTCAAGTACGGCCAGGTTCTTATGCATAGCCACGTGGTCATCATCTGGCTCTTCCTGGCCGTCTACGCCGTGGCCACCATCATGTTCTGGTGAGCACAGCCACGGCGGGAGGGGCGTGGGACAGGCACTTGCTCAGTGAGCTCACCCCATGCCCCTCAGAGCCCCTGGATCCCATCAGGAGCTTGCCCAGGAGGCCAGGCATGCGGTGGCTGACGGCATGCCTGGCCCCTGCCCACCAGCTTCTTGGTATCCGTGCTGTACTCCAAGGCCAAGCTGGCCTCAGCCTGTGGTGGCATCATCTACTTCCTGAGCTATGTGCCCTACATGTACGTGGCGATCCGAGAGGAGGTGGCTCATGATAAGATCACGGCCTTCGAGAAGTGCATTGCGGTGAGGCTCGTGGTGAGGGCAGGTGGACGGCCGGGGTGCTGGGCCACCCCACACATTGACACTGTCATCTCCTCAGTCTCTCATGTCCACAACGGCCTTCGGCCTGGGCTCCAAGTACTTCGCGCTGTACGAGGTGGCTGGCGTGGGCATCCAGTGGCACACCTTCAGCCAGTCCCCGGTGGAGGGGGACGACTTCAACCTGCTCCTGGCCGTGGCCATGCTGATGGTGGATGCCGTGGTCTATGGGATCCTCACGTGGTACATCGAGGCGGTGCACCCAGGTACTGGCCAGCCCTCGGAGGGCAGGGGAGAGGCAGGGGTGCCCAGCCAGGGTTGGGGACTGGCATTCTGGGCCCACTCCTGGATGCAGCACGGGTGGCTCCCTGGTTGGGCACGTGGCCCACGTGGTGGATGGTCACCTGAGGCCCTAGGTCAGCCTCCCCTCCCCTCCCCGACCCCCAGGCATGTACGGGCTGCCCCGGCCCTGGTACTTCCCACTGCAGAAGTCCTACTGGCTGGGCAGTGGGCGGACAGAAGCCTGGGAGTGGAGCTGGCCATGGGCACGTACCCCCCGCCTCAGTGTCATGGAGGAGGACCAGGCCTGCGCCATGGAGAGCCGGCGCTTTGGTGAGCAGGCGCCAGAACAGTGACTGGGGTGGGATCTGGGTTTGGAATCCTGGGTGGCCTCGGTGCTGCCCGCAGCCTGCTGACCCATGGCCCTGGTGCAGAGGAGACCCGTGGCATGGAAGAGGAGCCCACCCACCTGCCTCTGGTTGTCTGTGTGGACAAACTGACCAAGATCTACAAGGATGACAAGAAGCTGGCCCTAAACAAGCTGAGCCTGAACCTCTACGAGAACCAGGTGGTCTCTTTCCTGGGCCACAATGGGGCGGGCAAGACCACCACCATGTGAGTGTCGGCGGAGTGGGTGGTGGGCGGCTGCTGACTAGCAGGAGTGCTAACCAGGGGCGGGGTGGGACCCCGGCAGGGGGGTGTGGGGTCATGACCCTGCCCACCCACCCAGGTCCATCCTGACCGGCCTGTTCCCGCCCACGTCGGGTTCCGCCACCATCTACGGGCATGACATCCGCACGGAGATGGATGAGATCCGCAAGAACCTGGGCATGTGCCCGCAGCACAACGTGCTCTTCGACCGGCTCACGGTGGAGGAGCACCTCTGGTTCTACTCGAGGCTCAAGAGCATGGCCCAGGAGGAGATCCGCAAAGAGATGGACAAGTGGGTGGGCCAGGGCGGGCCGCAGCGGGTGGCTGGGCCCCAGGGCTCTGCCCAGGCCCAGCCCCACACCCGCCTCCCTGTCTTAGGATGATCGAGGACCTGGAGCTCTCCAACAAGCGGCACTCGCTGGTGCAGACGCTGTCCGGTGGCATGAAGCGCAAGCTCTCCGTGGCCATCGCCTTCGTGGGCGGCTCTCGTGCCATCATCCTGGACGAGCCCACGGCTGGCGTGGACCCCTACGCGCGCCGCGCCATCTGGGACCTCATCCTGAAGTACAAGCCGGGTGAGCAGCGTGCCGTGTGGGCGGGGACATGGGCGGTGCCTACCCGGCCCCCTGACCCTGGGTCTGGCCTCGCCCTAGGCCGCACCATCCTTCTGTCCACACACCACATGGACGAGGCCGACCTGCTTGGGGACCGCATTGCCATCATCTCCCACGGGAAGCTCAAGTGCTGTGGCTCCCCGCTCTTCCTCAAGGGCACCTACGGAGACGGGTACCGCCTCACGCTGGTCAAGCGGCCCGCTGAGCCGGGGGCCCCCCCAGGTCTGTGCTGAAGCTGCCTGAGCTGGCCTCGGGCCACCCCTTCTCCGGGACCCCCACCTGAGAGCCCATGATGGAGAGGCCGGGTCCTCACTGTCACCCGCTGAGCCCAGGATACCCACTGGGTCCTGCCCACCCTCTCCAATGCCCCTTATCTTGAGCCGGTTTGGTTCCCGTCGGGGGTCCTTCTTCCCAACCCCTGAGTGAAACCTCCCTGTTCCCCCATCCCTCCCAGAGCCAGGGCTGGCCTCCAGCCCTCCAGGCCGGGCCCAGCTGAGCAGCTGCTCGGAGCCCCAGGTGTCCCAGTTTATCCGCACGCACGTGGCCTCCTGCCTGCTGGTCTCGGACACCAGCACGGAGCTCTCCTACATCCTGCCCAGCGAGGCCGCCAAGAAGGGGGCCTTTGAGCGCCTTTTCCAGGTGTGAGAGCTGAGAACAGGCCGGGTGCAAGGGTGGGCGGGGCAGGTGGACGCACCCCTGCCTGGGCGTCCACACTGCACCTCACCCTGCACCGCCCCCGCAGCACCTGGAGCGCAGCCTGGATGCGCTGCACCTCAGCAGCTTCGGGCTGATGGACACGACTCTGGAGGAGGTGTTCCTCAAGGTGTCTGAGGAGGATCAGTCGCTGGAGAACAGTGAGGCCGGTGAGGGACTGGGGCCGCTGCTCAGCCCACCCCACCCACAAGGCCCCAACTCCGGCCACTCTGTCGCTCCTGCCTGGTGTCTGGAAGCACCGACCTGGTCCTGGGTGGGAACCAGGGGATAGCCTGGGGTCCTGGGTGGGTGGTCATGGTGGCCAGAGGTCCTAGGAGCTGGGATCAAGGCCAGGGAGGGGGATCCTGGGCAGGCCTTGGGGCAGGTAGCCCTGAGCGTCCCCTCGGCCCCTCCACTGTGGCAGATGTGAAGGAGTCCAGGAAGGACGTACTCTCTGGGACAGAGGGCCCAGCGTCTGGGGAGGGCCACGCCGGCAACCTGGCCTGGTGCTCAGAGCTGGCACAGTCACAGGCCTCGCTGCAGTCTGTGTCATCGGTGGGCTCTGCCCGTGGTGACGAGGGAGCTGGCTACGCCGACGTATATGGCGACTACCGCCCCCTCTTTGATAACCCGCAGGACCCAGACAACGTCAGCCTGCAAGGTGGGGGTGGCCGGGTGAAGCCGGGGCAGCAGTGAGGGGGCGGGGGGGCGGGGCTGCATGGGGGCGCCCTGTGGGGGGTACCGCGGAGCCACCTGCCAGCCCTCACCTCCCTGCACAGAGGCCGAGGCGGAGACCCTGTCGAGGGTCGGCCAGGGCAGTTGCAAGCTGGACGGCGGGTGGCTGAAGCTTCGCCAGTTCCACGGGCTGCTGGTTAAACGTTTCCACTGTGCCCGCCGAAACTCCAAGGCCCTCTTCTCCCAGATCCTGCTGCCCGCCTTCTTCGTCTGCGTGGCCATGACTGTGGCGCTGTCCGTCCCCGAGATTGGTACGCCGCCGGCTGGGCGGGGGTGCTGGGCTTGTGTCCTCCCCCGGGGGCCGTGGGGATGCCCACTCCCGAGTCTCCTGGCTCTGGGACTCACCCCACAGCTGAGACTGGGCACACGCCCGGGGTTCATCCGGGAGTCCTGCCTCCTCTGGGTCCAGACCCCCAGCACGGGTCCTCTGGGGTTGGGGGAAGGGACGGAGGCTTGGGGGCCGCTGGCTGGTGGGCAGAACCCGCTCAGGGCTCCCTGCTCGTCTTGCCAGGTGACCTGCCTCCGCTGGTCCTGTCACCCTCCCAGTACCACAACTACACCCAGCCCCGCGGCAACTTCATCCCCTACGCCAACGAGGAGCGCCACGAGTACCGGTGAGGCCGCTGGCGGGGGTGCAGCCGCGGTGGTCGGGGCGCATGTGGGAGGCGAGCCGGGCGGCCGCACCTCACACCACTGGTGCCCGCAGACTGCGGTCGCCCGATGCCAGCCCCCAGCAGCTCGTGAGCACGTTCCGGCTGCCGTCCGGCGTGGGCGCCACCTGCGTGCTCAAGTCTCCCGCCAACGGCTCACTGGGGCCCACGCTGAACCTGAGCAGCGGGGAGTCTCGCCTGCTGGCCGCTCGGTTCTTCGACAGCATGTGCCTGGAGTCCTTCACGCAGGGCCTGCCACTGTCTAACTTTGTGCCTCCTCCACCTTCGCCCGCCCCGTCCGACTCCCCGCCGTCCCTGGATGAGGACCTGCAGGCCTGGAACACCTCTCTACCGCCCACTACCGGGCCAGGTAGCAGTTCGGGGAGCCTGCTGGGGGACAGGGGCGGTGATGGACCCTTCTCACCGCGCCATGCTGTACCCACAGAAATGTGGACGTCGGCGCCCTCCCTGCCGCGCCTGGTTCGGGAGCCCGTCCGCTGCACCTGCTCCTCGCAGGGCACCGGCTTCTCCTGCCCCAGCAGTGTGGGGGGGCACCCGCCCCAGATGCGGGTGGTCACAGGCGACATCCTGACCGACATCACTGGCCACAATGTCTCTGAGTACCTACTCTTCACCTCTGACCGCTTCCGACTACACCGGTGAGCTGGGTGGGGAGGCTGTGGGTGAGGGAGGCCAGCGGCCACCCGCCTAGTCTCCACTCCTGCCCCGGAGCCTCATTCCCTGCCTAGCCTCACTGCTCCTCCCTGCTGCCTGCCAGGTACGGGGCCATCACCTTTGGCAACGTCCTGAAGTCCATCCCGGCCTCATTTGGCGCCAGGGCCCCGCCCATGGTGAGGAAGATCGCGGTGCGCAGGGCTGCCCAGGTGAGTGAGGCTGCGGCCGGGGGCTCCACGGTGTCCAGCGCTGCCTGAGGTCTGCAGGGACCCACGGGGCTGCCGGGGCCTTTCTGGGGCCTCGTCTTTCTCCAGGTTTTCTACAACAACAAGGGCTACCACAGCATGCCCACCTACCTCAACAGCCTCAACAATGCCATCCTGCGTGCCAACCTGCCCAAGAGCAAGGGCAACCCGGCAGCCTACGGTGAGCGGGCGGGATGCGGCGGGGAGGACCTGGGCCGGCCGGATGGCGCAGGGGCCTGAACCTGTCCTCCCTGACCTGTGACCTCCCTGACCTGTGATGCAGGCATCACGGTCACCAACCACCCCATGAACAAGACCAGTGCCAGCCTCTCCCTGGATTACCTGTAAGTGTGGCCAGTGGGGGTGAGGGGGCGGGGGGGTGCTGCGGCCACGGCGGAGAGGACTGAGGGCTTCCTTGCCCCAGGCTGCAGGGCACGGACGTCGTCATTGCCATCTTCATCATCGTGGCCATGTCGTTCGTGCCAGCCAGCTTCGTAGTCTTCCTCGTGGCGGAGAAGTCCACCAAGGCCAAGCACCTGCAGTTTGTCAGTGGCTGCAACCCCGTCATCTACTGGCTGGCCAACTACGTGTGGGACATGGTGCGCTCGGCATGGCCACGGGAGTCCCTGCCCCAGTGTGCTCGGCGTGGCCACGGGTGTCCCCGACCCTTCTCATCCCCCCATCCCTGCCCCAGTGTGCTCGGCGTGGCCACGGGGGTCCCCGACCTTTCTCGTCCCCCCATCCCTGCCCCAGTGTGCTCGGCGTGGCCACGTGTGTCCCCGACCTTTCTCGTCCCCCCATCCCTGCCCCAGTGTGCTCGGCGTGGCCATGGGGGTCCCCGACCCTTCTCGTCCCCCCATCCCTGCCCCAGTGTGCTCGGCGTGGCCACGGGTGTCCCCGACCCTTCTCGTCCCCCCATCCCTGCCCCAGTGTGTTTGGCGTGGCCATGGGGGTCCCTGACCCTTCTCACACCCACCCCCGCCCGCCCTGGGTCCCTCACTGGCCGCCCTGCCTTGCAGCTCAACTACCTGGTCCCCGCCACCTGCTGCGTCATCATCTTGTTCGTGTTCGACCTGCCGGCCTACACGTCGCCCACCAACTTCCCCGCTGTCCTCTCTCTCTTCCTGCTCTATGGGTAAGGGCACGAGCAGACGGGGAACGGCCCCAGGTGGGGCTGGGACTGCCCGCTGACCACTGCCCACCACCCGGCCGCAGGTGGTCCATCACGCCCATCATGTACCCGGCCTCCTTCTGGTTTGAGGTCCCCAGCTCAGCCTATGTATTCCTCATCGTCATCAATCTCTTCATCGGCATCACCGCCACTGTGGCCACTTTCCTGCTACAGCTCTTTGAGCATGACAAGGTGGGGCGGCGGCGAGATGGGGGCGGCAGGCGACACGGGGAGAGGCGGCGACGTGGGGGGCGGCAGGCGACACAGGGGGCGGCGATGTGGGGGGCGGCGGCGACACGGGGGGCGGCAGGCGACACGGGGAGTGGCGACATGGGGGGCAGTGGCCACATGGGGGGCGGCAGGCAACATAGGGGGGTGGCAGGCCCTGCAGACACTGTGCCCTGACCCCGGACACCCCACAGGACCTGAAGGTCGTCAACAGTTACCTGAAAAGCTGCTTTCTCATTTTCCCCAACTACAACCTGGGCCACGGGCTCATGGAGATGGCCTACAACGAGTACATCAATGAGTACTACGCCAAGATCGGTGAGCGCCGCGGGGCGGGCAGGCGTCAGGGCCCCCGAGGCCCCAGCACAGGCACTGAGCTGGCTGCCCCACAGGCCAGTTTGACAAGATGAAGTCCCCGTTCGAGTGGGACATCGTCACCCGCGGGCTGGTGGCCATGGCAGTTGAGGGCGTCGTGGGCTTCTTCCTGACCATCATGTGCCAGTACAACTTCCTGCGGCAGCCGCAGTGAGCAGGGTGCACATCAGGGGCGGGGGCATGGGTGGGGGTGGGGCCGGGGCATGGGCGGGGGCGGGACGGGAAGCAAGGACGGGTGGGGTGCAGGGGATGGGAGAGGGGCCTGCCCACCCTTCCTGCATGCCACAGCCAGAGGACTCGAGGCCGGTGGCAGGGAGGGGGGCCAGGTGGGAGTGTGGGACACCATCCACCCTGCTTCCAGGCGCATGCCCGTGTCTACCAAGCCTGTGGAGGATGACGTGGACGTGGCCAGCGAAAGGCAGCGAGTGCTCCGGGGAGACGCAGACAACGACATGGTCAAGATTGAGAACCTGACCAAGGTGAGCTCTGGGTGGGGCCTGGGCAGGTGGGCCAGGGTCTGGGGGTGGGGCCCGAGCAGTAGGGCGGGGTCCTGGGCTCTGGGGGTGGGGCAGGGCCTGGGTGGGCACAGAGGGTGGGAGGAGCAGCATGGGGTGGGGTGGTGGGACCCTACGCCCCCTGCCCCTGTGCCCCGCTGAGTGTGCAGGCTCCTGGCCAGGTCTACAAGTCACGGAAGATTGGCCGCATCCTGGCCGTTGACCGCCTGTGCCTGGGTGTGCGTCCCGGCGAGTGCTTCGGCCTCCTGGGCGTCAACGGTGCGGGCAAGACCAGCACCTTCAAGATGCTGACCGGCGACGAGAGCACGACGGGGGGCGAGGCATTCGTGAACGGGCACAGGTGTGGCAGGAGCCCTGGGTGGGCGGGGCCGCCGGGAAGGGGCACAGGTGCGGTGGGAGCCCTCGGTGGGCGGGGCCGCCGTGAAGGGACACAGGTGCGGCGGGAACCCTGGGTGGACGGGGCCGCCGGGAAGGGGCACAGGTGCGGCGGGAACCCTGGGTGGGCGGGGCCGCCGGGAAGGGGCACAGGTGCGGCGGGAGCCCTGGGTGGGAGGGGCCGCCGGGAAGGGGCACAGGTGCGGCGGGAGCCCTCGGTGGGCGAGGCCTTCGTGAACGGGCACAGGTGCGGCGGGAGCCCTGGGTGGGCGGGGCCGCCGGGAACGGGCACAGGTGCGGCGGGAGCCCTCGGTGGGCGAGGCCTTCGTGAACGGGCACAGGTGCGGCGGGATCCCTGGGTGGTCGGGGCCGCCGCGTCCCGCTGCGCTGACGGCCGCTGTGTCCCCAGCGTGCTGAAGGAGCTGCTCCAGGTGCAGCAGAGCCTCGGCTACTGCCCGCAGTGCGACGCGCTATTCGACGAGCTCACGGCCCGGGAGCACCTGCAGCTGTACACACGGCTGCGCGGAATCCCCTGGAAGGACGAGGCCCGGGTGAGGGTTCGCGCGGCGGCAGGGGCCGGGGAGCTGGGCGGCCCCGCCTCTGCTGACGTCTCCTCCCCGGCCAGGTGGTGAAGTGGGCTCTGGAAAAGCTGGAGCTGACCAAGTACGCAGACAAGCCGGCCGGCACCTACAGCGGCGGTAACAAGCGGAAGCTCTCCACGGCCATCGCCCTCATCGGGTACCCGGCCTTCATTTTCCTGGTGAGTTCTGGGGGACAGGGAGCAGGGGGTATACCCGGCCTTCATTTTCCTGGTGAGTTCTGGGGGACAGGGAGCAGGGGGTGTACCCGGCCTTCATTTTCCTGGTCTGAGTCCTGTGGGGGGAACATGGGGGTGGGGGAGAGTATCTGGCCTTCGTCTTCTTGGTGATTCCTGGAGCCCTAGGTGGGGGGGGCAGGGGAAGAGGGAAGGAAGTGGGGAGGAAGGGCGTGGGGGGCCGCCAGCATTTATCTTCTTGGTGAGCCCTGGGTGGGGGTTGGGGGTGGCTGCCAGGCCTTTGATTTCCTGGTGAGCACGGGCAGGGGCAGTGTTCACACTGGGTTAGGGTTAGGGTGCTGAGCCTGCCGCCATCTCCAGGACGAGCCCACCACGGGCATGGACCCCAAGGCCCGGCGCTTTCTCTGGAACCTCATCCTTGACCTCATTAAGACAGGACGTTCAGTGGTGCTGACATCACACAGGTGAGGCCGGCCATCTCTCCCCACTGTGCCTCCACTCCTCCCCGATGTACCCCCCACCCCTTCCTGCTGTACCCCCACCCCTGCCAACTGTGCCCCCACCCTCCCCGTTGTGCTCCCACCCCTCCCCGCTGTGCCCCTACCCCTCCCTGCTGTGCCTCCCTCCTTGCTGTGCCCCCCACCCCTCCCCGCTGTGCCCCACCCCGCAGCACCCCTTGCAGTGCCAGCTGTGCATGTCCTACAGCATGGAGGAGTGCGAGGCGCTGTGCACGCGGCTGGCCATCATGGTGAACGGACGCTTGCGGTGCTTGGGCAGCATCCAGCACCTGAAGAACCGGTGAGCTGGGGCGGGGCCAGAGCTGGGCGGGGCCGGGGCGGGGCCAGAGCTGGGCGGGGCCAGGGCGGGGCCAGGGGTGGGCGCAGCTGCTGGGTTGTGAGTGCTGTGGGGCCAGGGGCGGGGCCAGATCTGGGCGGGGCCATGAGTGGGCGTGGCTGCTGGGCTGTGAGTGCTGTGGGGCCAGGAGTGGGCGTGGCTGCTGGGTTGTGAGTGCTGTGGGGCCAGGGGCGGGGCCAGAGCTGGGCGGGGCCATGAGTGGGCGTGGCTGCCGGGCTGTGAGTGCTGTGGGGCCAGGAGTGGGCGCAGCTGCTGGGTTGTGAGTGCTGTGGGGCCAGGGGCGGGACCAGAGCTGGGCGGGGCCATGAGTGGGCGTGGCTGCTGGG